TGTATTTATTTTTACACAACTGAAGGAATATTACACTTCCTGCTGGTGTCTCAGATGGAAGCACAAAGCTCTCAACATGCCCAAATTATTGAAATCAGTGGTGATTTTCCGGAAGGAAGAAGAAATCCTGGAGGAACCAAGATTTGTGGGGAAGCACCATGTGGATTTGCAGATGCTGGGTCCATCTCTAAGGATTCTAAAGAACGATCAATGTCAATGCGAAAGCTTTGGACTGCTGTGATTCTCTGTGTTGTTTTCATGAGTGTTGAAGTATTTGGTGGCATTAAAGCCAATAGTCTAGCAATTCTGACTGATGCCGCCCATTTGCTTTCAGATGTCGCAGCCTTTGCCATCTCCTTATTCTCTTTATGGGCTGCTGGGTGGGAAGCCACACCCCGTCAGTCCTATGGATTTTTAGAATAGAAATTCTTGGTGCCCTGGTTTCTATTCAACTAATATGGCTGCTTGCAGGGATTTTGGTATACGAAGCCATTATAAGAATCATTGATGGTTCTCACGAGGTGAATGGCTTCTTAATGTTTTTAGTTGCAGCATTTGGTCTAGTGGTTAACATCATCATGGCTTTGTTATTGGGCCACGATCATAGCCATGGACATGATGATCATCATCATGGTCTAGGCCATGGCCATGGGTTTACAGTGTCTACCCACCATGATCATGACCATCATCATCATACTGGTGAGGATCACAAGCGCCATCATCATGGTGAAGCAGGTCTGCAAGATGAGCATCATTATCATTCTCATGATGAAGATGAGCACCATCACACTCATGACAGTGCTGCTGAGCCACTTCTCGGTGGATCAAAAGGCAAACCACAAAAGAAGAAGCGATGGAACATAAATGTACAAGGGGCGTATCTCCATGTTCTAGGAGACTCGATCCAGAGCGTTGGAGTGATGATTGGGGGAGCTATCATTTGGTACAAGCCTGAGTGGCAAATAGTTGATCTAATTTGCACTCTTATCTTTTCAATAATTGTTTTGTTAACAACAATCAATATGCTGCGAAACATTCTTGAAGTTCTGATGGAGAGCACACCACGTGAGATTGATGCGACTAAGCTGGAAAGGGGTCTGTTAGACATGGATGAAGTGGTGGCTGTTCATGAGCTACATATATGGGCAATTACAGTGGGGAAGATTTTGTTGGCTTGTCATGTTAAAATCAGACCTGAAGCAGATGCAGATATGGTGCTGGACAAGGTTGTAGACTATATTAGAAGGGTTTATAACATCAGCCATGTAACTATCCAGATAGAGCGCTAGATTATTTGTTTGGGTTGGGTTAGTGATGAATTTCAAAGGTAAAGATCTAGTTAGACTTTCACATTGGGTCTTTGGAATTGAACTCAAATTTCTCTCTTGTGATGGTGAAAGATTTAAGCAGTATCTTGTATTGTTTCTCTTATCATGCAGTTCTAAAATTAATATTAAAAATTCATATATTTGTGACGTTTTAGTTGGAGAATTTGATATGAAAGGTCTAAAGAACTGCACTGAACTCTAGTACGTTAATTCTTCATATACGATTCTAGTGATACGGTAACTGCATGTGCTGGTGGTTGAAGTTTCTTCGGGTTGTGGAAAGTTTCTTCTCAAATCCTACAAATTGAATAAATGTAAAAATTCAAGGGAGCGGGACTCTAAGATTTTGGAGGGTGTCAACTTTTTTTTCTCTGTGGCGGTTTTTTTTTTTTTTTTTTTGGCAATCACTCCCAAACGATGGAAAGCAAACAATGAAATTCTCTTTCAAGAAGGTTTCCTTTCATTTTCTATTTTTCCTTCTTTTCTGTGTCGATCATTTAATTCTCATGCACATCCAAGCCCAAAACTCCTCTCACATATCCTTCAAAAAGTTACTTGAAATCTCAATCAAGACTTTTAAGTCTTAACCATGCCAGGAGCAGAGGGTCCTACCATGCAGTACAGTATGTTTTAGAAAAGAAATAGTGACAAAGTTGAAGGCATCACCACCACATGAGAATGTCTAGCTTCTGAGTTGTTCTCCTGATAGCTACCTTACCAATTCAAAGCGTTTGGTGCAGAATTACAGAACTGGCTTACCTCTTTCAACATTACATGTTCAGCGCATACAAATTTTCTGGCATCAATTAGTTAATCTTCATACTTCGTGGATAAGGTTTCCTGTCGTTTGGTCTTTTATGTGAAGATTCCCCAGTCTATGCTCATAGACATTTATGCACTTCGTGGTATAGATTTGTTTTAAATTGATTGAATATCTTATGAACCATGTAAATTTTATTATTTTACTTTTTTATTTTGAAACAGTTACGTTATTTTCTCCTAACCTGCAGAGGATCTGCATTCTGCACTAGATAAGTATTTATGGGTTAAACAAATTTATAAAGAAATGTATGAATATATCAAATATATTTTTGGTGGGGTTCATCGCTGTCATGGTTGTAATAAAACACAGTGAAGTTACTTCATTATCTTCGGTGAAAAATTTACCTTGGATCGTGTATGCAAAATTTGACCATCTTGTGAACGCTAGAGGACAAACATCATGTTTCGGAGAGAAGAATTTATCTGATTGTGTGGCTGAAGCCACAGCCCCAAGCCCAAAAGATAAGATTCCCAGGAATTCAAATGATTTTGGAGTTTCCAAATGAGGGCCTATCTATTCGGTGGAATCTATCTTCATCTCTATTAAATAAAATAGGGACCTAATCTCAGCTTGCTAGTTTATTTCCACAAACCTAGAAGTGATTCCCAAAAAGAGAGAGACTTTCACAGGCATAATGGATAGGGAATATACTCTATATTCAATTACTTCCTAGTTCCTACGACGTAGAAAGGTGATGGGTTTGGACACTGTCAAGATGATTACCGAAAGAAAAGGAAACTTGAGACGATATGAATCGCCTTATACGACAGAACAACCATGCTTGTGTGGCAGTGAACAGAGCGATAACATAAAATAGATTGGACCTTCAGTAGGTCGTCTTTATTAGGCTTTTTTTATGCAAAATTAGAATGTGAGGAAGATTTTAATGATTTTGTGTCATGTATTGTTTCTGGCTTTGACAAAAGAGATGAATGGATAGACAAGGCAGGTCTTTTGAGAGGCCAGAGATTAGGTTTCCATTTTCTTTGGTTCATCATACGAAGACGTGGCTCATTCTATACTAGATTATCCAAATCTGCTAAGTTTGCTAAGTCAACTAGGGTCCACCCTGTATTCACCTTATCAAGAGTGTCAAGTCTCATGTATATTGTTTAACCCAAAATATGACAAAATGCTTTCTACATTTTTGTCACCCCCTTTAAGGGTCCTGATCTGCAGCTTTATGCCTTCCATTTGTCCAAATTCCAAGTTTTATTCTTTTTCATTTCAGTCATGATGAAATCACAGCTTTAGATTAATAACAGTACTGTATAGTTCTCGTTAGCTCGCTGATTTTCCAATTATGAATGCTGTCTAGTTCTCATTAGCTTGCTTAAAACACTCATCTCTAACGTCACTTCACTAGGGAGAATCTGATCACTAACATAATCCTCCAAGAATCAAAGATCAACTAAGAATAAGGCATTACATTTGGGAAACGAAACCATCAGCAAAAGAGACCTAAAAGATAGAATAGAAGAGTTTTAAACTCAGGAGGAGTATGATATCCCGACACAATCAATACTCGAGTGGTAATGTAGCTGATGGCATCAGGCATCCCTCCAAAAACAATCAATTATTAGCAACAAGGCACACAGAAGCAGGCAATGCCTGACATGTCCATGCAACAACGATGACGCTCCTCTGTAGGCACCAACATTTGTGCTAATTCTGAAATCAATTTTTTTTTCCACTCAGCACTGGTTTGTGCAGTTTCTGTTTATTGTAATCATAATGATGGATTCTTCAAGCTTGAACAGATAGAAATTGAAGTCGTGGGTTTTTGTTTTTCTGTGTTAGTAATAGTATGCAACATCTCAGAGTATCCAAAGAGGTGAGCACGTACCTACTCAGTGAGGCTGAACATCAAGAATTTTATTCACAGAACACATTGACTACAGTGGTAGAGAAGATGCATTGAAAAAGAGCCATGGATGGGACCCACAAAGTGTTTTTTCTTGACATCAAATTCATCTGCAGCCGTGCATGCAAAGAAATACACATCTTAGTGTTTTGAGAGCAAGATGACAGTGAGGATTATCTTTCATATGGTCCATGTGGAAACAGAGTTTCAGAGAGGGAGAAGAATTAGATGTCAAAAACTGCTGATAATATAAAAAGGATTGAAACTGCGGGGCCTGATGATGACTATTGACTGGCCTAAGTTAACCAAACTGGGGTTGGCACTTGGCAAATGGTAATCACGTACTTTTAGCTGAATGAGGATAGTAAAAGCAGAGGGTAGATTATGACACATCGTGAAGCTCTAGGGAAGGTCCCTGATAATCTACTTGTTCTTCTTCAAAAAAAATTTTTTTTTTAAAAGATCAACAGATTCTATCTTCCTCCTACTCATGCTATACAAAGGAGGCTTAGCTAGTTTGCCCTGTACTTCCACACCCCATGTGCTGCGTAAATTGACGGGTGGGGTCTCAAGGCAGGGTTGAAAAAAAATGAGCCATCAAGAGAGAGGGAGAGAGGGAGGGAGAGTATGGGGAAACTGGGAAGTGACTCTTCATTAGACGAGCCAGTGACACAATCCATGGAAGCCCTTTCCAATGCTTTTTCCCCGCTTTGCTTCGCTATGCCCTGCCCCACTCTTACACGAGAGAGAGAGAGAGAGAGAGATCAATTAATTTGTCACGCCGAATTTATAGAGATTAGAGTCGCATTAAAAAAGAAAGAAAGAAAAGAACAGATGTGGATAAGAGACTGAGGCGAGAGTTAATACAATGCGCTCCCCTCCTTCATCTACGTCTACATATTTTTAAATCGACTATCTTATCCAACAAGACCCTGTTACCATTTTATCAATGTTTTGTATAATATACGCACAACTTACCTAGAAAAAATATCGTTGTGGGTATGATATGTGCGTGAGAGAGAGAGAGAGAGGAGATTTGTGTGTGTGTGTGTGTGTCCCACAACTGTTCGTGCCCTCTGCTGGGCAAAACTGCCACCCCCAATAATGCTTGGGACCTTGCAAACCAGACAACTCTCTCTCTCTCTCTCTCTCTCTCTCTCTCTCTCTCTCAAGTTCCCACCATCTCTTCACCGTTCTCAGATACATCATCAGCTACCGCTATGTCTCTTGTGAAGCAGTAACCCAGTTTGAGAGTTGAATATCCCACCTTTCATTTTTCACCAAAAAGCTCTCCATTTTCCCCCCTTTAATCACCAAAGATTTGACACAAATTACCAATTTTCTAATTATACCTGCCTGTGCCGTGAGTGGTGGCTGTTTCACTTCACGCATCGGCATTTATTATATTCTATATACGAGAGTCTCGTTAGCATCAGAAAACAAAAGAATATATTTGCGGTGCGGAAGAATAAAGCGTTTCCTTCTTCTGCCTCTTTAGGGATATCATTTATTACTATTGTTTCGTGAGTATCACTATACGGAATGTTGGTCACCAGCTACAGTGAGACCGAAATAAATTAAGATCTCTCTCACACTCAGTTCTGATGATGGAGAGGATTCAAGGACCCATCAATTCCTATGTATGTTACTTTCCTAGTTTCTTCTCTCTTCTTCACCTTTCATTTGCCTCCAACCCCATTTCTAGAATCACCCAAGTACTGCATTTACTCCCCTCAAAATGCTTGCATTAAATACTTTGTTATTTTCCAGCAAATACATGCATCTGCACTGGTTTATTGGTTTCCCTGTTGTGGCATTCTATTTCTGTTCAGATTTTCATTGCCCCACCTCTCTTTGGAGATCCTCAACCCCGAGCCTATTATTGGAAGCATTTACTACATTCTTTGCTTTTTTTGGGCCGGTCTGAAAATGAAATAAACAACTCTTATCTTTGCTTGTTCTCTATAACTTCTCTTGCAGTTCTTTGGTGAGCATTTGGAAGTAAATTGTTTCCAGCAAGGTTTCATCAGCACAGAGGATGAGGAACAACTTTATATATCGAGCTTAGAGGATGAAAAGATGCCATTCTTGCAGATGTTGCAGAGTGTGGGATCTTCACAACAGTTTTTCCCATTCGCAGAGGCAAATTTTCAAACCTTCCTAAGGCTACAGAACCTGAAGAAACAACAACAACCATGGGAAGACAAAGTTCACTTGCCCGGATTGGAGACCCCAATCCAAGCTAAGGAACTTGAAAGCTGCGTCACACACGACGTTGTCGAGATACACTCGCCAATGAAATCCCAAACCAACGAAGAATCTCATCTTCCTCCTCGTTCAGCCACAACGGTTCAGAAACAACAGACCAATCAAGCTGAAAATTCCAGCAGAGGCCCCAAACGGAGAAAGCGAAAGAGAACGAGGCCAGTCAAGAACAAGGAAGAAGTGGAGAACCAGAGGATGACCCACATTGCCGTCGAACGAAACCGGCGACGCCAGATGAACGACCATCTCAGTGTTCTTAGGACCCTCATGCCCCCTTCCTATATTCAGAGGGTAAATAACGACAAAATATTTAACCAAACCCAATTCTTCAAATTATCGTTTTCTTTCGCCTAATTCATATTAAAAATCCAATCTTTGGTCCTGACTCGAAATTTCTCAGGGTGACCAAGCGTCTATCATCGGAGGTGCAATTGATTTCGTGAAGGAATTGGAACAACTACTTCAAACCCTCGAGGCACAGAAGAGGATTAGAAAGAACGAAGAAGCTAGGTCTCCTTACGGAGAGACTGTGAAATCATCATCACTGAACAACGAAGAAAGAGAAGTAGAGCATGGTGGGGAAGAAGAAGAACTGAAGGAAGCAGAGATCATAGAGGTGACGGTGATTCAGACGCATGTGAACTTGAAGATTCGATGCAGCAAAAGACAGGGACAACTGGTGAGAGCCATTGTTGGGTTGGAAGATCTTCGGCTTAGCGTTCTTCATCTTAACATCACCTCCTCGCCGGGATCGGTGCTATTCTGTTTCAATCTCAAGGTATTAGTATTACGTCTCTCGCTCTCCCTCTCACTCCCTTCTTTTCCTTTCATATGCCTTTGCATTTTGTTGTTTTTTGAAAAGGAAAAAAATTGGTCAACTCATCAAAAGGGAATCGAGTCAGTGTACCGTTCTTCTTCGCTGTTCTGACTTGCAGCCTAAGCAAAACCTGGCTTCCCCATTTCCAACGATGTCAAAGATTTAAAAAATCAATTTTTTATTTATTCTTTTAATCTTTTCATCTCCTTGTCGGCTAGGTTGTACTTTTGAGGAGGTTAAGATTCTTTTATTTTTTAATATTTTAAATGTGCAAAGTAATAATAATAATAATAATAATAAAATTATATCATTTACAACTCATTTTCAAATTCCATTCCGTGCATAGGAGCTGTGTCCAATTTATCCAAGTTTAGCCTGCATAAATAAATATGATCTTAGATATCATGAAATTTTTATTAAAAAGAAAACAACTTAATACTTAATGTAAAATATAAAATTTCTAAGATATTGTCATGAATTCCGTATTCAAAGACTCAGAGTAAAATTTATAAATTTAAAAGATTTTTTATTTAATAGGTTAGTTTTTTAGAATTAAAATCTTTCTTTAGACTTGTAAAGGTTAAAGTCAAAAGGGTTACCAGGTACTAACCAATAAGAAGCCAAGTGAAATGTTATAAAAAGGAGGGAAGCAGTTGGAGATGTGGTTTTTTAATAGGGTGGTATTGTCATTATTGAATTGGAGGATCCCTCATTCACTAGCAGGGTTTTTAAATTTAAGGGCTCTTCAATGATTATTTTTTTAGAAAACATGCCACTGAATGAGAAGAGTTTTTTCAGAAAAATAGTTGGAGAAATAAAACATGCATGTAGTTGGTATAAAAGCATTGTGATGAAGGATCATTATTGATGGTGCAGATTGAAGATGAGTGTAAGCTAGGATCGGCAAACGAGATAGCAGAAGCAGTTCGTGATATATTCGGTACGATATATAACTATTAGGAGGATATATATATATATATATATATATATATATAAAAGCCGTGAGGTTGAAGAATAAAAGGACGAGGAGGAGGAAGAAGCAAATGGCATGCTTTGGAAGAGAAACGGGGAACACAGGGCACTCAAAATCTTGTCTGCTTTATCCACGTGAGTTGTATCTGTATGTACTCTCTTCAGTACAACAACAAGGATGGCGCAATCATATATATGTAATGCCCTTTCTTTCTGTTAATTTCATTGTTGTTATCAGAATTAACCATGCGTAATGTTAAGTTTCATATAAATATCATGTTTAGTTATTGTTTTGTTTGGTTGTGTCCTTTTTGGGGGACGGATAAGATCGATTAACTAGTGTGGTTAAGAAGGCTGCTCTGTCTGTTTTAGGATTGCAATATATTTTCAACTACATTATCTTATCTGCCAAATCTTTTAATCATACGTTTGAGCTTATTACTTCTTATCTCTTTCGAGTTTTACATCTTCCTTTGCGAAATTAACTAAGACTCGCAAAAAGAAACGTGTTAACTTTAATTAGGAGCATGTAGGATAGTTTTTCATGAGATAGATCTTCAGATTTAGTGGGAATATATACTCCAAGAATCACTTTTTTTTTAAGGCAACTTTCCCTTGAATATTTTGAAAGGCTTTGATTTCCGTTAAAATGCTTATTTCACTGAAATTACTTTGTTGCTCATTCAACATATTTTTTTGCAAAAACCATCTCCATAAAAAATTGCCAAGAAAATCAGGAAATTTGTTATGAATTTTTGTAGAGAAACAAATAAATGTATTATCTCAAAAATTGTGACGTGGCGGAATTGATTATGGGGATTGGGAAGAGGGCCCAGAGTGAAGGAAGACCCACCCTGAAAAAAGTAATGATTGGTTTCATAAACAGAGAGATGAGGAAGAGAAGGAATGATGCTCCCTTTTCAATTTGACTTTGGGAGATCTCCGTATTCTCTAAAAAGATTGTTTCATCATTCTCTTTAACATTATGCATACATTTTCTGCTTCTGTCCCCAGCTGCCCCCACAAATTACTATGCTTTCCTTTCAATTTTGTGCTCTTAATTTAATAATTCTATAATAATTAGTTTCAATCACTAAATCCCCAAACTTCAAATTAATGGAAGGATCACTACATCAAGAAGAAGCAGAGAAAACACACACCCCCACACACAGAGATGAGAGAGAGGGGAGGGTAAAAAAGTCAAAAAAAGGAATGATGGAGGGAGGGGAAGGCAACAAACGCCACAAGACATGGGCATCATCTGAAGGACGCAATTTAATATTAATTATTAAATGTAAACTTTTATTATTATTATTAATATTAATATAATGTTATGAGGTCGCTCTCGCTCTCCCGCATCGGTCAGAAGCCACGCCCTCCTTCATTACTCTGAGAGCGACCACACGCTAAACCCTCGCCCCACCTCCAAAACATGATCAAACAAAGACCCAAGTTTTTTTATCAATCTACTACTCAGTAATTCCTAATTTTTTTTTCACTACCAAATCCTTTAATTTTGAGATGATGATACTAAAGTTTTAAAGAGATCAATAATTAATAATAATTACATTTTCGATAAAATTTTTAAAATGAGTTGTAAACATTAATTCAAATAGTTATGAACAAAAATCCCAATTTTAAATTGAAAGTTATGTGTTATTCATAATTAAAATTCTTTACTTTATAATTATTTAAATCAATATTTGAAATATTTTTTAAAAAAATTGTGTTCTTAATTTCTTATTTAGGATTTAACTGTCCTTTTCTTTTAATTTTTACAACTCCTCACAACTGAAAATCGCAATTTATTTTTTACAAGAAAATAATTTATTTATAGTTTTTCAATAATTTTCTTGCGGTACGATTGCGGGATGGAAACGGAGCGATCATGAGCAGAGTCCTGTGATGTCATTGCTCAAAGTCTTCCGTCCCATTGTTAATTGGATTCCTATGCTTCTCTTTTTTTCTTATTTCATACTCCTTCCATTAAAAAATTAAATATTAAAAAATATATAATATTTTTAATTTTTTAAAATATAATTATTGTCTCTTTTTAAAAAAATATCCCTATTAATAATAATTTTATATTTATTGTGGGATATTTAATAAAAGTAAATATAAAAATATAGAATTAGTTTAAAAGTAGGTAACAATTTTATTAGCGAGTGAGATTTGATTAAAAATGCCTTATATTTTTTAACAGGAGAAGTACTATTTTATGATCAATCACCTTTATTCTTGTCTCTTGTAATTTACTCCCTTCATTTATATATATAAGAGAAAAAATTACTTTTTTTGTTCAAAAATATAAAATATTTTTTGAGGAGTTGAATGTTAAAAAATGTAAGGTATTTTTAATTTTTTGAGGTGTAATCATTGCCATTTTTTTAAAAGTCTCTCTATTGATAATGACTTTATATTTATTGTATGATGTTTAATAGGGATAAATATAAAAAAATAAAATTAGTTTGAAAGTAGATAATTACTTTATTAGGGGTGAGTTTTAGTTAAAAAAGCTTTATATTTTTGAACGGAGAGAGTATATTACATAGTTTAAAAAATTTAATTAACTATAATAATTATATCTAAAAATAAAAAAAATCAAACTAAAATTTTTTATGTTAGTTAATATAAGCTTGCATTAATTATTTTTTGTTAATGTAAACAATAAGAGGTAATTTAAAAAATATGTAATAAATGCTTATTAAAGTAAGTGATTTTGGGTTTAAAAAATCAAAACTATTTGCAATAAAAAATAGACTGGGTAAGCACTTTTTTTTTTATTGTTCACAATATCTTCTGAATAGAGAAAATTTAATGCACTGATAGTTACTAAATGTAAATAAGGAATTTAAATATTAGTTGATTATGAGGTATTAGTCTTTTCCCATTGACGGCGCTTGCTTTTTCGCCTTCATTTTGGATATTTTTTCCAATTTTTTAATGAAATTATTTGGAGAAGTTGGAACAGAAAATACATTAGCAAATTAAAATATAACTTATAGTCATGTTCCACGCAACTTATAAATTGTTTAAAATTTGTTATAAATAAATGGGACCCACGGCCAATGTAAAAATAAAATAGTGGTAATTAAATCCCAACTGTGCTTTGATATTCACATATCAGTGTTAAGGAAAATTAGTGTGAGATGATCGAAGTTAATCACCGGTTTACATAAAAAGATGAGCCAAGTTTCAGCTTTCCCCCATTAGTCTGCCGTAATTATCATGATTGATCTGTGAGACTGTGACTTACGAGTAATTAATTAAATAAGCTAACCCATCCATTCAGAGCTTTGACCCAGTTTCATAAATTTGACTATTTTCTTTCTTTAGCCAATTCTAAATCCGCTATTCAATAATGTGACAAGGTTTCATCAATATTTAATTTAACAAGAAAAAGAAGAGCACCTCGATAAATTTACGACCATCCTTACATTGGCATACTTAGAGGAATTTAGTTGACTTCATTAATGAAGTGTTTGGCACAATATATACATCAATCTGAAGAAAAAATAAAGAATGCTACAGGGTTTGGCATAATTATAGCATTTACGAGGAAGAGAAGATGATCGAGGTGGACCAGAGAACATAATGATTTAGGTGGTGATACTTCTGTAGCTCATGTCTGGTGTTTTTTAAACCCATATCTGTGTGTGGGTGCGTATCCACGTTTGTGTAACTTTTGAATTCCAAAGTTGACGTGACCATGCCATGCAATCTCTGATCCATACAACTGCGTTAATGCTTTGATGGAGACGCCACATCGCATTTTCTTGCAGTCTTCACTGGACTATTCATTTCTCTGTTTTCCCGCTTCCCTGCAACTACTTTTTCTCTGGACCAGCTAATCTAAGTCTCAGTTAAGGCTAAAAAAGCTCGCTGGTTTCAATTATTCGTTCGCACCTCCCACCTCAATTCTGACTCTCGAACCTCTAGCTTTGGTGACCCTCTATTTTAATCTTAATTAGGCTCCATGTTCATTTAAATTAACTTTTAAATATTTTTAATATTATATTTATTAATATAAAAAATAAAAAAATTTAAAATTTTAATAAATCTATTCATTATCCATTTAGCCCATATAAATTTATTAGAATTCTTATGCTTCTCTTATTTCTTTATTTGGCACTTCAAATATAATTCAAGATGACATAATTTAATATTAAAAAATTTATAAATTTTATAAATTAATCATTTAAATTATAGTTAATAATTTGGGCTAAACTTGACGGTTCGATTCAAACCCATTAGAAAAATTAAGGGCCAAGTTCTAAAAAAATAAAAAAAATTTAATGTTTGGGCCTATTTGGCCCAAGCTTGATTAGATTTAGGATTCGCTCGAACACCTGAATGAAAATATCACACTTTAAAATATATGTATATATATAATATAATAAATATTAATTAATTATTTAAATTTTATATCATTTTATATTAAAATACCATATGTTTGAGTGTATTATTAAATTTATTTTTTAAAAAATAAAAAATATTTATACTTTCATATTTTTATTATTTTTAATCAATAAAATATCTCAAAATAATAATTAAAATATAATTTAATATTTATTTTTATAGTTTAAGACCCACGTATTCTTAAAAAAAAGTTGAGTCCTCTACATTATTTAAGTTTTCAAAAAATATTTTATATTTTTTATGAAATAAAATAATTACTTTTAAAGTAAAAAATAAAAATAATTTTAAAAATAAAATTCAGGCATATATGAATTCTTGACTTTACTATTAGATAAATAAAATAATATCATTAGATAATTATTTAGTGATCACCCACGCTAGACTTGATTAAAAATTAAAAATAAACTATATTAAATATCCCTTGTATATAGTGGTTAAATAATATAAAAAGTTAAAAGAAAAATTAATTTCAAAAAAGGATTATTTTGCTCATGATTAAATGGATTTTATTTTGTATATATAATGATGACTATTTTACTCATATTTTTAAAAATAAAAAATATAGTTTACTCAAAAGTCATCGAACACTCTGAGCCAATTGAGGCAATGATTTTAAGTTAATAGTTTAGCCGTCATTGAATTGAGATCAACTTGATCATGATTAAAATATACAAAATTCTTATATATAGCCATGATAAGAGCAATATTTAAACAATTAAGACATTAATTTATAAGTAAAAAAAATATTCATAAATAAATTATATGTAACACAATAAAATAATAACAGAGTTATTTAAATATAAAGTTGGTAAATTATTATTTTTTATTTTATTCTTTAAAGTCAAAATAATTTTTTATGTTCAACAGAGTTACTTAAAAATTAAAATTAATTCAAAAAATAAAAAAAATATTTTTAAAAAATTTTAGGTATTCAAATTGGTCTAAATAAACCCAAAGATGTTAGGACTGGGCTTAACTATATGAACTTTTAATATAAAATATGATACTTTAAGCTCAATTTGAATAAGCTCGGCTCACCTAAATTATCGGCTCTAATTTAAATGTACTCTAAATAATTCAGATTGAATATTAAAATTTTTTATATTTTTTATATTAATAATTATAATATTCAAAATATTTAAAAACTAATTTAAATGAATGAAAAAGATCAATTTAAATTAAAATAGAGGGCCAGGATTCATGTGCTCATCACCATATGCATAGGCCCCACCTCTATTTTGGATCTCTCCAAGCTCTAAGGCTAATCTATTAGAGTTTTTCTTTTCATAACCACCCCTCATTGAAATTATTAAAAAATTAAATCAAAAATTTTGTTATGAAAACTTGTTGTTATGAAAATCTGAATTATCACTTTTGGTCACATGTTTAAATAAGAAAATAAATGCATTGATTGGCTTCAAATAATAATTTAGATGTTAAGATTTTTAATGGGTGCAAGAAATTCTTTGTATTCTAATATAGCTTGATTTATATCGTTTTGCATTTTTTTTTGGTGACCTTGTATTAAAAAATTATTCTTTTTCTGTTTGGATTTGAGCTTTGTGGGCAACTGTCATTCAAGGCCTAATCTAGATTAGAATGATAATTAAAACAATTTATGGCTAATAATAATTTGAGACTTTTATATCCAAACATATAAATTATATAACAGTAACTAATTTTTAGTTTAATTTAAGTTTGTAAACTGTAGTTCGTGAAAAAAAAAATAATTTTACAAATGCCAATCCAAATACGCATAAAAACCAACTTGACCTACTTATCGATATCCTTACCTGTGCACATATCTCCTAAATCAATCAAATAAGTCTTGCATAATGTTTAAAGAACGAGGAATGATAGGTGCAACCACTGCTTCAATATCAAGCAGTCCCATTCTAAGCATTTGCGGAAAATTTTCCTAAACTAATTATTTTGGGTTTTTTAACAAAAAATTTTAGGTTAGTTGAGTCACGAGGGCTCGCTAAAGTCAGTGCATACCTTTAAACTCAAAAAACACTTACAGATTACTCACTAACAAGGTCTTCACATTGACAATGTAATTTCTTCACATGACCTTGCAGGTTAGGGGATTAAATTCTTATCAATTAGATCAATTTAGATTTTCTACTTATTTTGGTTATGTTTGTAGTACTAGAAATATAAATTTTGAAACTCAAATCCAACCCAAAATAAAAAAGTCTTAAAATAATTAAAAAGATAAAAATTAAAAAGATTTTAGAAGTCATAGCCACCTCGTCAAAGACTAATCAAGGCAACTACATTCATATATTAATGTTCTCTTTTTTTATCACTCACAGAGTTATAGTTATGCTACTATTAAAAGCAATTCTGTTAAAGGTATAATTGAATACTAAGTGTGTGTTTGGTTTTCAGTTTGTCAAAAGTCAGTTTGATGAAAGTTCATTTGATAAAAGTCAGTTTAGCAAAAGTCAGTTGTTGTAATGAAATTTGTGTTTGAATATATTTTTCCAAAAGTCAGTTTGACAAACAGAAAGTTGTTTGGATTAATAAAAGTTTATTCTTTTGAAATATACTTTTTAATGTGTAATGACCAAAAAGGACATTAATAAATGATAATTTATAATTTTAATTATACAAATATAATATATTAGTAATGTTTGAAAAATGTGAAAGAAATTTTAAAATAACATAAAATTTAAAATGTTGAATAATAAGAAAAAATATAAAAATTTAATTTTGGACAAATTTATGTAATAAATAGTTAAACATTGGCTAATATTGAATAGTTACATGATTAATGGTTCGATCTATAATATACAATATGATCTCTAATAGAATCTCGAACCATATTCATCTCTCTATCAGAAGTCACGCTTGAAATTGCACTTGGAATTATTGATAAAAATACATGCTCATCATTATCATCGTTAGTATTAACCATATTTTCATCCTCAAAACACCTAAAGTCAGAATCAGTTGCAGATTTTTTCTAATAAAATTATGTATAGCCATTATTGCACCAACGATACGAACTTGCGTCACAAATGGATAGCTAGGCATGTGTCATAAGATTGCGAATCTGTTCTTCCAAACCTCAAAAGTCCTTTCAATCGTGGTCCTTAAACTTGAATGATAATAATTAAAAACTTCATTATTGTTTGCAAATCCAGATGAATGCCTGAAATCTGGGAGGTGGTACCTATGAGATCTATAAGGACCTAAATATCCACGTGGCGTTGGATAGCCGGCATCTAATAAATAATATTTACCTACCAATAAAAAAAATTATAAGATCCCAAAGAATATTGAGTAAATTATTTTAAATTAAATAAATATAAAATATACCTTGGGGTAGATGTGGAAATTTCATGTTCGGCCTTGTGAGTGCATAGTCAAACAAACAAGCATCGTGGGCAATCCCTTCCCATCCAGCCATGACATAAGTGAAGCACATATCCCAATCACATACGGCCATTATATTTTGTGTTGGAATACCTTTTCTTCCAATATATTTCCCTTGCTCTTCAACACTAACCACGCATGGGATATGTGTTCCATCGATTGCTCCTATGGCATCTTTAAAGAATGGCCAATATCGCGGATCACCTAAAATTTTTGGATGAATATCTTGAAAAGTGCGATCTTTTGGTTAGATATATTTCTTTACTAGCTTCTCACAAGCATGCAATACATTTTTGAAATGTCGGTGAATAGTCTTTGCTGAATGTTGAAATCGTTCTTGTGCCATCCTATTCCCCACCCCATGTCCAACAATATTTAAGAACATACCGACCATTTCATGAATCCCTGTTCTTCTAGTTAGAGACAAACCATGTTGCACCAGTTCATCACAAAGTTGGAAAAAACATCTTTTTCCATGCAAAACATGTCATAACAACGCTGAGGATGCCCTTGCAAAATTTCTTGCACCCATGCATGACCTGATTGTGAACTGGTTCTACAAGGCTCTTTCAATAAAGTTGTTAAGTAATTAGATATTATTGCAGTAATAGCCTCAATCTCATCATCTTCCGCATGTACAAGTAATTGTAATAAGCGAGATTGCGTATTGTCATCCATAAAAACTGCATAGCATAAGTAAACAACCATTACACTATTGTTCATGACTTAACATAAGAAACACATAATACAAAAGTCAAATAACATAGTCAGTTTCAAAACAAAGTTAACAACATAAACGGCACTAGCTAAATTTAAAACATTGAGAAGGCAAGCTAAGATTGATCTAATCTACTTTTTTTCCCCAAGCACCTCAAATAGGCCACTAATGCTCTTCTGTTGTCCCTAAGCCCAATATACATGTCCACTTGCAGTCTTATCTAACAAAGCCATAGCACACTGTCCAAGAAGCGACTCATCATAAGCAATCTCCTCGATTCTATAAAGTTCTTTTGCAACATCCACCACATTTTGATCAACTGGTTTTGTGCCACCCCCTATGGAATTAAGAATTGACTTCAATGTTGAAACCCTATCCTCTTGTGTGGACACCAAGCGACTCACTGAATCAACCATCACAGTTGCAAGACGTTTTCCCTTTTTGTTTTGACCACTTTCACTTATCTTTCTCTTGCTCCTCAAATTAGAACCACCACTGTATGCATTGTTCAAGTTGACCTGCCCAATTTCTGGAAGAGCTCCTCCACTAATATTTCTCACATCATCACTGTCTCCTGATCCTTCAATTAAATCCAGTTGAGGCCTATACACATCTTGTGCATCATTAGCCGCAGGTGTCCACAGGTAAGTACCTCGAGCTGCAACTAGCTGGAACAACTGTGTCAATTCTTGTACATATGGAAGTGGTCTATATCTGAATTTTCTATACTCAGGATTCTCCTACACATTACAAGAATTGAGTTCAATATATTTACAAAATAAAGCATCAAATATATAGCATGCCGTATATAACTATATACCTTAATCTTTTGACTCCACCACTCATCCGGTGCTGAAATAGTATTCTTTTCGCCATCCCATCCCAAGCCGGTCTCTTTGTTCAGCAATTTGTCCCATATATTCCAGTCTTTTCTCAAATTATCCCATTTATTTTTTAACTGCTTCTTATCATAGCTTCTAGAGTTCAAAGCATTGAATTGTTGCATTAACGCTTCCCAACCTTCCTTTGATAAGGTATAGCCCTTTACGCTCATTTTTTTAACTTGTTGAAGAGCTAATTTGAGGAACAGTTCGGTCTCTTCGGTAGTCTACAATGCCTTCTCCTTACTCATATTTACTATCGAAATATTACATTCTCAATAATTAATTAACATAAATTAGACCTATTTGTCAATCCACATTTAACAAGAAACAAAGCAACTAATAATTAATTAAGTAAAATCATCCAATATTCATTTATGAAACCATACCAAAACCCATAATTTAGCATTAGTTTGAACAAAAAAATAACTTGAAAATACACACATAAACATACATAAATTCAGAATAATTCATCAGCAATTGAGTACAAAAAAATTTTAAAACACACACATTCTCAAGAAAAGAAATCAAAACCCAGGAACCAATTATTGATTATAAAAAAATTTACACATTTATACAAAGAGCAAAACTAATTTTGAACTTAAATAATTCAAGATCTAAAAACAAAACCAAGCATTTCCACCATTTCAGTTCCTATTCATTTAGCATAACAAAACTTTGACCCATACACACAGAGCACAACTACGTTCAGATTCACAACATTCCTATTCAATAAGTATGAGAAAAGTTTGAACCTGTCCTTCTTCCTCAAGGTTCAGATTCCCAACATCCAGAAGCTTTCAAGTTTTGGAATGCAAGTAGAAGAAACGATTAAACAGATCAAAAGAACCTTCAACTGGAAAAAAAACAGAGCATAAGCAACTGGAAAATGGTGACTGAAATGGAAGAAACGTCCAGTGTAACATCCTATTTTTTAGATAAAAAAATATGAAATTTAAGTTAATAATATGAATTTATATTATTTGAGATTATTTAGAAATAATAATATGGTTAGAAATTTAATTGTGAATTTAAAACTTAGGTTTAAAAATTATATAAGAAATATTTTATTAAGATATAATTTTAAGATTTAGAAATAAAAAAAATATATGTGTGTGTGTGAGTTAAAAAAAAGAAAAGAAAGTAAAAAAGGGGGGGACTGTAGAAGTCCCACATCGATTAGATGTGGGAAGAGAGAAACGCTCCTCGTGTATAAACGAGCAATGCAGAGGTGCAGGCAGAAGCAAAAGAAAAAAAGAAACTTTTGCAATTTGTAAAAATTGCAACTAATGGCCCAAGATGCAATTTGTGAAAATTGCAAGTAATGGATCAAAGGTTTGAATAATTAAATTCAGACCTATAGTTTTTTTAATATAACTTTGGGACCCACAATCTCATTTTTATATTATTTTTCTCTCTTCCTCTCACATTGCTCAGCGTTTTCTCGCAAGGGGGGATTATTTTCTTTTTCTTCAGGTATGTTCTAACTTTCCTGTTTAGATTGGCATTTAAAAATTTATTTAATTACAAAATTAATTTTATAGTTATTTTCTAAATAATATTAGCTTTCTAGTGATATGATTATTTTGTAGGATAGAGTAAATATTCTAATTAGGATTTTTTTATAGGATAGTTAATCTGATGATATGATGGATTAAAAATATAGGTTAAAGCTCTTAGGGATATAATAAATATTATAGAATATTTTTTTAAGATTGAAACTCATGTTTAAGAATTTTTGAGTTAAACTCTAGATCTATATGGTTGAATTTATGTTGAATCTGAGATGTAGGGATGAACCTCTAATTATTAAATATTTATTTAAGTATGAATAGGTATTTTTGAGGTTATAGAAAAGTGATTTGAGGCTTCAGGATAATTCTAAAATTTTTAATTTATTTTTGGACGAATTTTTAGAATATAGAAGGATGAAATTGTGATACTAGAAGTGATTTGAGACTTAAAAATAGTTTATTAGGGTACGAGAATTTTAGAAAAAAATTTAAAAAGTTAAATGATACATAAATCTTAAATTAGTGTTAATATGGATTATAAATCTAAGACTTTCTAACTCTTTAAATTAGAGTTATTTATTAATTTTAATGTAAAATTAATATATAGTATTGTGAAATAATTATGTAGATTATATTGATAAAGATAGTGGTGAAAAAGGAATTGTGAAAGGGAACTTGTTATTCAAGACACAAGGTAACCATTATTAATGTGTTGTGATGAGTGTGTTTGTGAATGGTTATGTGTTGTTTTATTGTTTGAAAAAATTATGAATTATTAAAAATAAATACTGTATATACTTGTTTGAAATTATTGCCAAGTGGGTTAAAAATTTATTTTTGTTTATCATGATGAAATATTATTGTTCAGATATATTTCTGTTTGGATATTTGAATGATGCATGACTTGTTAGGGTATTTTAATGTATGGTATTAATGAAAATTTTTGTTCAGTTAATTATTACCACGTGGTAAGCCCTCATTAGACCCAATGAGTGGCGTGTCGCTTGGTCCAACTCACCTTTGGCCGAGTGATTTGGCGTCCGAGCATGGTGAAAGGAGGATATAAGGTGCAGTCATGCAAATTAAATACTTGTTCGGTTTGTTTGAAAGTATTGTTCGGTTAAATGTTTTGTGTGCCCACTTAGCAATCGCATGATTAGTTACAACCGCATGCATCATTACATATTAATTTTTAGTTACTGGGACTTTTAAGTCTCATTCCCCGTGGTTAATATTTTTACAGGAGCGAGTCCGGCTGAGAAAGCACCAAAGATGTAACTATGGTGTATGAGACACCATCTTTTACGTTACCTCTTATTTTAGATTATACAATGTATCTTGTGCCAACTTAGGACATATCTTCTTTGTGAAGCATATAAACTCTAATCTTTTTTATTAAAAGTATTTATATGACCAAGAGGATTATGTCTGTCCCTCTTGATTTATGATCTGATTTGAATATCATGCCATGAGGATTATGTCTGTCCCTCATGGTTTTAATTGCCTTTTTGGATATTTTAAGACTTGTGTTATGTCTTGGATGTATCATGGTAAGAAAATTTTCTACCATGATAATGGTTTTAATAATTTGCGAAAAATCGGTTTGTATTTTTGAGGGTGTTACATCCAGAAGCTCTCAAGTTTTGGAATGCAAGTGGAAGAAACGGTTAACAGATCAGAAGAACCTTCAACCGAAAAAAAAACAGAGTATAAGCAACCTTCAACCGGAAAGAAACTCTAACCGTCCGAGTTCAGTTCAAGCCTCAAGTGTTTTTACTTCTATCAGCTTCACAATGCTGTCCCAGACCCAAAAGAAGCTCGATCCGTGAGCTACCACCAAAAAATGGTGACTGAAATGGCGAGGAAGGATGACAGAACCAGACCACAAACTCAGCGAAGGAAGAAAAGTTAGATCTGTGACTAGAGATGGCGGGGGAGAGACGGAGGAGAGAAGGATGAAAGTCACCGGAGATCTGACAGCGAACGAAGAGGACGAACACAGCACAGAGAAGAGAGAATGAAGTTAAATTTGTGACCTGGTGTGGTGGGGGAAGACGAATGTGAGAATGATGAGAAGACTCACGGAATGATGAGACGAACGCAAGAACACGAGAAGACTCACCAGAATATGACAGAGGTGCACTGACGGTGGACGACACGAAGAGGCAGAGGAGAGCAGACCACAGACATGATAGAACTGGAGGAAGCAGGCGAGATCTGAAACATGGAAGAAGACAAGCTCGGTAGGAAAAAAAGGCAGATATGAGCAGGGGTATCATGGTCATTTTAAATAATAAGTATTTTATCTCTCCTCAACTGACTTTTTAAAAGCTCCAAATACCAGCTTTCAGTTTTTTACGTTGCAACCAGGTCTGAAAGTACTTTCAAAAAGTTAATTTTAAACCTTAAATGATCCCCAAACACCATTTAACTTTTCCAAAGTAAAAACCAACTTTTTGGATGTAAAAAGCTGGATTCCCAAACGCACCCTAAACGTGAATATATCTCTCAACAAGAATTTAAATTTTAATTCACCATAACTCTAGAAATTAGCTCCTTTTTACCTTCATGTTCCACCCATAATGTTCAAAATGAGAGAGTGGGAAAAGTGGCTTCAGTAGAGAAGTTGATTTCTAAAATCAAAAGAAGTAGAGAGGTAAAGCAGCAAGTCAAGGATTCATCTTTGATACTCATTAGGAGCTGGTACTCATCACCCTTGATAAGCTCTAGACCATCTAGATTTAAACATTATTATTTTATTTATTTATATTCACTAAAACAAAAATTTATATAAAAAATAATAAATGCTTATTACTAATCTAAATAGTCTATATTTAATTTAGATGGTGAAACTTAATTTTAATTTTTTTATAATTTTTTAAAATTAATTCTTCATATTTATTATGAATAGTCCGTGTTTAAAATCTTTAACTTTTATTTTAAGAAAATATTTTTTTGAAAAGTACCAAGAGATTATCTTTGTTATAAAAAATTATAACAAAAATTTAATATTAAATATGGACTATCTAGATTCTATAATAAGTCTAAATAATTAATCTCTTCATTAAAAATATTAGGCATTTTAACTGAATTTCACCTTCAATAAAGTGGTTACATACTTTTAAACTAATTATATCTTTCCATATTTATTCTTATTAAACACTCTACAATAAATATAAAGTCATTTATTAATAGGGACACTTTTTTAAAAAAAGGCATTGGTTATATCTCAAAAGATTAAAAATGTCTTATATTTTTTAACAATCCAACTCTTAAAAAAATACCTTACATTTTTTTAACTGATGGAGTAGTTTATAAAATTGTAAAAAAATTAATATTAATTGAACAATCCATATTAAATTCTGTCCAAATAAATAACAAACGAGTATATTTAAATTTTTATAATTTTTTACTTTAAAAAAATATAAAAATATAAATATAAATTAAATTTTAAAATCTAGTCTATTTATTTTTAATTTGGACAGTCTATATCTGTTATTTGGAATGAAACGGTGTACATGAGCAATTGAGAACCAGCTATGCATCCAAGAGGACCCGCAAGTCAAGCTTGTCTAGAAATAGAGGAGGCCCCCTCTCTTTAAGATCATCATCATTCATCAATAATGATCATTCATAAAATCA